GAATGCATGTATAGAAAATCAACATGTGTTTGTACCTTTTGCATTCAATACATTTGGTTTTCTTGCACCAGAGGCGGTAAATCTCCTTAATAGAGTCCAACGGTTCACGCATTCTAATGTCATATCTCCTAGATCCACATATGTTGTTTTCAAAAAAATTGGTTTTGCCATCCAGAAATAGCTAGCGGCACAGCTTGTTGCCCATTTGCCTTCAATTGATATGTATTGAACATTTATGTTTTTTAATTTAATTAATTGTTTATTTACATTAAACTCAATTTTATTATGACTTTATGACAAGTTTCCAACAGATTTCACACGAATTTGTGATGAATTTATGATAAATTTATAATGCTATTAATATTAGGTTCCCTTATGCACAGTATTCTATTTCTATTGGCTGCTTTTTTTCTAAATCCTATTGGCTGCTTTTTTTCTAAAGGCATAAAGGGAAAAAAAACCATCTGCTCCTTCTCGATAATTCCTCCACCGCCTCTACCTACCTGCTCTATCTTCCACCAACAAAGAACTGGTTATGTGTTCTCTTCTCAGATAACCCACTGACACTTCTCTTCATCCTTTGCACTGCGTAATATACCCAATTCAGTTTCTTTTCATTTGGGGGTATTACCTCGGTTCCTTAGTTTTTCTATCCCTCTTATTCACCATCTTAGATCTTTATTGCTTTCATAACTCTTTCTACAACCTTCCTACTCCAAACTTTTTATATCCCTCTCTCACCATCTTGCTGCTTTAGACCGGCATATGGAAAACGGAAGCAACACGAGCAAAAGTAACTCCTTCAAGCAGCAACCACTTCCAAGTTTTTTTTTCAAATCGTCGCCTCTGAATTCGATTGCTATGGAGGTCATTTATGAAATTTATTTTATTTCTTCACTTCTGCTTCTTGGAAAAAACACATATCTATAATCGTTTCAACATTTCTAGGATGTCGTCTTCATGGGTCCATCTAAAGTGAAGGGCTCTTTTATGCTCATAGTGTTCGATAATGTAAATTGTTCAATTTGAAGGTGTTATGAACAATTTTTTTTCTTAAAAACCTTACTTTTTAAATCAACCACCAAACCATTTGGACTTATGTGTAGTTTGTGATGTGAAAATGGATTAAGGTCTAATGAAAAACTTAGAAGCTGGAGTTCTAAAGTGATTTAAATAATATATCCACCAGTTCTTTGCTAAACTGTCTCACTTGCATTGGTTTGAAAAAAAATTAACACCAAAGTGTATTTTCCGATTATACAGGAAAGCTTAACAAATGCTACAAAAAAGGAGCCTGTTACCCACACTAGCATGGTTGGTCACCTTAATGACAGTCAGGTACAAGTCATAAACATGGCGATTTAACCAATTTTACAAAAATTATATAATTTGAATACAATTCACATTGAATTTTCCATATTCTTTCGTGAATGATGCTGGACTTCATGCAAGAAATATAAGCACTGTATCAACAGTAGATAGTGGTGAGTTACATTGAATTTTGAGTCATATAGAAATTTTGGAACTTCTATTTTATAATCAAACAATCTTTGTTTGCTTTTCTTTTTCTTTTTCATGTAGAAATGATTGATGAACATGGGAACCCAATCTAGAAAAATAGGGTTGAAAGTTGGAAGGATAAACAGAACAAGAAGAAAAAGAGTGTTGCTAAAGTTGCTAAAGAAGTTCAAATTCATGTAAACCACCAGATGGGTGAAAAGCAGGGGTAAGTACATGACATTTTAGTTCCTTTTTCCTTTTCACTATTTTGGTAAAATCAAAATTATAATTAAAATGTGCAACTTGACAACTTCTAATATGGTTTAACTAATGAGAACTAATAATTGTTACTTACAGGTCAACAAAGGCGAATGGAATGCAACCACTTTCACAAATAGTTACAATTCCAAAGAGCCAAATCACACCTTATAGAGTTGTAATTATAGTGGATTTTTCTTATCCTTCTTCTTGGCACACCGATTGAAGAAAGGGTAATATGTTTGTAGTTTTTTTATGTAGTTGTATTTATAGGAGTGAAACAAATTTGATTTGGATAGAAACTAAAGAACCTAATGAAAACCAAAACCACATACATTCAATTGGGTTCTTCTTTTTATGTATTCTAGAAAACCAAAGTTTCATTTAATTGTTGGTTAGGCTTGAGTCTCAAAATGATCCATGATGTTATCCAGTATGTGGTTGTGAATGGCACAAGTGTAATTTCGGTTGCAGTTTAAAATATAGTAGACAACAAACATTAACGTGTCTATAAAGTCACAGCAAAAATCGAGATGAATAAACAATGAAGGTATAACTTTTACCAAATATATAATAAATTAATCGTACTTTGCTTAAATTTATTCTAATATCATGATTGCATTAGAATTGATGAAAGCTGATAACACTGTAATTCTGCATAATTGGATGCTCCAAAATTCATATATGTGATGCAACTTTATTTTACAAAAGGAAATTTAGGATAAAACGTGTTCAAAACTTTGATTTTTTCTTTTCAAATTAGTTGAAAACAATAATTATCAGTCATAACATGACATTTCTATTTTCATGTTTTACATCCTTTTGATGCGGTGAAGAGCAAGTGAGAAAAGTAAAAGGAGGTGTCTAGAGCTGAATTAAAGTTCATTATCTAATATTTATGAGACACAATCCTATTATTTTGGTTCGTAAGCTCACAATATTAGTTATTTTATGTTTTTTCTTTTAATTCAAAAAAAAAATTGTTTTTATTTATTTTCAGACTTTCAGGTATGTGTGCCTCTAAAAGAATCAAGGCTTCATGAAACAAAAAGTTCCCTATTTTACAGGTTTTCCGTTTTACAAATTTAGATGGTTATTTGGGTTTGCAGTTTTTTTATCTATCTTAAATTTAGGGCTATTTAGTCAACTATTTTTTGGCCATTAAACCATTATATAATTTGTAGTTGCACAAATCGCCACCTTTTTTCACATTCTCTCTTTTGTTTTCATCGTGAAAAGGATTCTATGGAGGTTGTTTGTTTGACGAAGATGTGGTATTAACGTTAGTTACCTTAGGATAAGAGTCAGAAATATAACAATAGCAAAATGGTAATCTAATATATTATTCTAATTCAACTTGAGAAGTATCCAAAAAAGAATTGAAAATTATAAATATATAATAAACAATGAATTATAAATATCATACCTATCATTTACTCCAATAAATATTTGGAGATTGTAGGATTGAAGTTTACCTTCCCATAAATAAATGACTAAACAATGTATGTTACCTATTGTTAATGATGGTTTAATCCAAATCTAACCACATTCTATGTGGGGGCTCTTTTCTAGTTTATACAAAATTTGATATTTAGGTTGTGTTTTGCGCGTCACAGCTAGCTGAAAAGCTAGTTTTTTTTTCTAGTTTTTTTAAGTTGTCATGTTTGGCAAGTCAAAAAGTAGCTTAAAAACTAGCTTATAAGCTAGCTTTTTAAAAAGCTACTTGGACTAGCTTTTATGAGCTTTTTTAAAATTTGCAAATATACCTCTTAATTAATTATAAAAAACATTCTTTATAATGGTTTTTTACGCCATTTCATATTTTTCAGTTAATTTTACCAAACGTCATTTTTTATCAATTAGCTTTTCAGCTATCAGGTAGCTTTTTATTGAACAACTAGTTTTTCAACTATCAACTAGCTTTTCAACTAGTACGCAAACATAACTTTAACGTTAAATTTAAAAGATCCCAGTTATCACCCGTCACCCGCCCATAAGTGTATTCAAACACTATTTTACTGATAATGTTACATTTTGCCAAACTACGCACGCAATCAAAGGAAGGATGGAATAAATACTTTCAAAGTGTGTTCGCTCGTCGAATGACTCGAATCATCGGCTTGTGATCATTTAAAATTTGTGGCACTTCGGAACTAATAAAACGAGCAACGACCCATACACTATGCAGTTTGGAAGTTTTTTTTATATTATTTTATTAACGGAATTTTATTTATTTTTAGGATTTTTATTATTTCTGTATAGAATTATTTTAATTACGATTTATCCCTTAATTTTATAATATCTTTAAGAATATTCATGCTTTATTTTATTCATGAATTATCTTCTAAATTAGATATTTCTTTTTTTAGATTATGATTAGATTTAGTTTTTTTTAATATATATACTGTTATAGGATAGGTTCTATATAAATTATTATTATTATGATTTTGATTGAATTAATGCAAGGACATAGATTGTTTTTACTCGAGTGTCGCCCATTTTTCGTTGATTATAGACATTTTTTTATTATCCTTCATCCATAATATGGGTTAAACGAGTTGAGTCGTGGCTTGAAAGTTGAAACAAATAAATTTAACGTGGATCAAAGTTTGTGCCGGTTTGACATGGAAACATTGAAAAAAAATTATTGTGTAAATAAATAATAATATCAAATTCGTTAACTATCATGATACAATTCTTTAATTAAAACAAATTATAAAACTGTAACAATTGAATATATTTAGTGCTTACAGAGAGAAAAATGGTAAAATAATAGATATCAGACAAGCAGTTAACAAATTGTGTTTTCACCACTTTCTAACAACTAAGCACAAGCACAATGATACTACGATATTATATACGTTGTAATTAACTCGGAAAAGTTTTTCAAGGGGACAAAGAACATTTTGATTTCATAGAAAAGTAGACAACATGTTTAGCATCAAAATTTTTAACCAAAAGTATATTTGTGTTGTAAGGAAATCACACGTTAGGAAGACAATTTCAATTGTAAACAGCTAATTATGTTGTCCTAAGTATGGAGTCAAAGGACAATGTTGGATTCCCTCAATAATTTTTCATGTACTTTTTCTAAGGATTTCCAACAAGAAAACAATTCAAATCCCATAAATCTACATCAACTAGGAGTAGGGTTGTTGATGACGATGCTTTTTGTACTTTGCATTTTATGGGTAATTGTTTGAATACAAGTGGAATAGATTGTAATAAAAACTTATATTTAGTTAACTTATACTATCTATAGTTAGGAAACTTTGAATATTTTTTAGAAAAACACCTAGAATAAAAAAACATATAATTTGATGATTTTTTGTTTTATTTTGTAATAATTTTATAATTTATGAATTAGTTTTGTATGTTTTTAATTTGTTAGTATAAATAAAAAATAAAAAAAGTTGAGTGGCCAAGAGGAATAGGAAATGTGGTTTTTCATAGGTTGTGTGATGATAAATATGGAAGAGAGATGAGAGACAAAAAAAAACTGACATGACAAATAAGTTTAAAAAGATGAGACTGATGGATACCATACCATCCATCATAAAACTTGACCAACAAATCCACTCATTAACTAATGAAATAATTAACAAATGAACATTCTACTAATGAACAATGTCTCACCAAGTAGTGATTTAAGAACATGATTTGACATGCGGAATTAAAGAACACACAATGAACATAGTGATTTGGGTGCTAAAATGTGTATTCGATCATATTAAATGAGTACAAAAAGGGAACTAGTCTAGAACTTCATAAACATCTCACTGACTTATCACTATTAGTTACATCTCTCAAGCACACCTCTCCAAGTGGTATGAACCCACCTTATATAGAGGTGTTTACATATCTTTCTCTCACTCTCTATCTCATGAGTCAAAAGGCTAATGCACCACATGCAAGTGGGTTTTATAAAAGTCAACATATTTACAAAGTCATACATGGATAATTTTACACCCAACATTCTCCCCCTCAAAGTTAGGAATGGATGATCCACTTCAAATCTTCCAAAATCAAGCAACTACGTGATTCGAGCCTCAAGCGTGACACATGTTGAGATGAACTTCAAATCTTCAATTCTTCCATGACTCTTCAATTTGGGTTCTAGGATGTGAGACCATACGAACCAAGCATCAACGAATGATCAAGAGCTTCTCAAACTCCAAATAATCACCCAAAAGTTGAGCATAAAAACACACCCCGGAAATCTTCAATAAAACCAAACCCATCTCAAACCGAAATCACTTCCGAATCTCCAATCGCATCATATAAAATTCAAAAATTCAAGGTCACTTCGGTCTTCAAGTTCGCGTAATATGAAAAATTCAACTTCGAATTTCCATATAAATTTCTCCCCCTTTTTATAATCGAAATTTGATTATAAAACTATCAAGGAAAGAGAACGAGCTCTATTCGGAATTTTTAGTGTTAAAACTCACCCTTAACATGTGGTATAAACTTTGTGCTTTAATCCAAAAATTCGAAAAAATCTTCAATTTTTAACTTCGTTCACGGACCGTCTTTGGCAAAATTTCTCAAAATGGGTAGAAATTGTCAATTTTAAAATTCTTCAGTGACCCGGTGCGCCCAAAATAGCCAAAAATGTGAAACTCTCCCTTTTTTTCGAAAAGCGTCAATTCGCATAAACTGTAGGGGCCTGATATGCATATTTTTCAATTTCTCGGCAAAATCAGTCCAATTTTGAAATTAGTTATGAACAGCCAAAAAATTTTAAAACTTCAAGGATTGATTTCGAAATTGCTGCTTTTTGTCCTCCAAAACTTCGATAATCACCCAAAATGTCGAAGTTGGGTAAAACCGCAAAATATGCGAAAGTAAATATCCAACTTTCGAAATTGTTGCCACTGGCAACAAATTTTCGAAAATGACCACATAATGCCAAATTTTTGAAACTACAAGGGTCCACTTCGAAAATTCTTCACAATACTTCAATCATTCGAAATTAACATCTTATTTTGAAAATAGATTAAAAATGATAAACTTTTGAAAGCTCAGGTACAATTTCGAAACACGATTTCTTCATTCCCAATTCATTACCAATTAACTCACAACCTTCGTTAGTTGATTACCGATCCTCACAACTAAAACTTTGAATCTTAGTAACCTAAATACAAACATTCGATATTGTCTCAAATGACTCTGCATATCGACATCAACAAACAACAACTTTCGAAAACAGAGATCAAAATCTTG